AATTTGTGATGTTTGACTTGGACAGTAAGTTAGGTTAGAACATGGGGAATGTTAGTAGGATTAGGATTGTAGGTCTCCTCCTATATATACTACATGCCCCTCTCTCCCATCTCATACGCAAATAAAGTTCTCAACATCAAGGGCTTTATGAAAAGACGAGAGAAGCGGGAGAGAAAAACGATTCATAGGCAAAAGCGAATCAATCATTGGAGATTATGAGAAAGATAGATCCATGACATTACGAGGAGGAAGAGATCGCAGATCAACATCATAGATCAAGAAAACAGGGAAGGACTATAAGCTGGATTCTTGTAAGTTCTATGTGCAATTTAATTTATGCAACGATCCATATTCTATGAACTGATAGAATTACATGCTTAGGGTTTATTCAATTCCGCCTGATAGTTATGAGTATGCCCGTTAAATTTCTTACAGATGGCGGGGGAAGCTTCACGGAGGTGCCTTTATTTTGGCGGACGATGGCCGGCAACACATATGCAGATGAATTTGTGAGGATGATGGACGAGTTTTTTGGGGACAATCACAATTTTCTGTTCTTTTTCCAAAATTTTATGATTTTCAAATAAAATAAATGGTTAATAATAATATTAATATATATATATATATATATATATATATATATAGGGATTGGTTCAAATGTGGCCGCTTTTTTAAAGTGAGGACGTGAGACTCATTTTTAGCCACAAGATTTAGTAAATCATGTGTGGCCAAGATTTACTCTTTTCTTTTTATTATTTTAATTATTTAAATATTATTTTGACCTGTTGACTCCGACATTGACCGTTGACTTCCGGCAAAAATCCGTTGACTTCCGGCATTGACCGTTGACAACTAACCTTCCAATTTGCTAGGTTAGTTCTCTGTAGTTGCTAGGTTACTCCTATCTTGTTGCTAAGTTAGTTATATCCTGTTGCTAAGTTTTTTTTTTTTTTAAACAAACAACGCCCCGAGAGGGCGGGGGATTGGGCTGGATCCCCAACCTGTGCATAGATCAAGACCCCAAAACGGAGGTCAAAAATATCAACAGTCTACAAGGTCTCAGTAGCGAAACAAATACAAAGTCTGTCTATGGGCTAACAGGTGCCCGAAAAAGAAAATGAGAATCTAATGAAATGACAACAAAGAAAACCTAATCTACTGAAAGCGGAAAGATGGATATCCAAGCTGATCCATCCGAACAAGCGTGCGAAGGCGGAGTGGAGCAGCGTCGGTCTGGAACGTATGTATGTCGGGTATGGTGGCACCAAGGCTGGCAAGGTAGTCAGCAGGTCTGTTCCCCTCACGGAAAATGTGCGTAATCCTGTGGTGGACTGACCGAAGTATATCTCTAATGCGCATAAGTGGGTGTTGAATCTGCCACGAGCCCTGATGGCCCGAAGTCAGGAGGGTGGCGACAGCCGCAGCATCCAGCTCGATCCATATATGATTAGAGAGGTGGGCAGCAATTTGTAGGTCAATCTGTAGTGCCTGAATCTCTGCGTCGTAGCTCGAGGAGGCCTGAATGGACGCGTGGATAGCAGTGATGAGGGCGCCGCTATGGTCTCGAATCAGGCCTCCTCCTCCGGCAACTCCAGTGTGGCGATCAAATGAGCCATCAGTGTTCAGCTTGACCCACGGAGAGTCAGGTCGAAGCCAAACAACAGCTCTGGCCCGAGGAGTCCGAACAGGCAGTGGTGGGGCCACCATGTAGCGGAGCGGTGGCGTGCAGCCTGTCCAGTCTCGAGCCGTGAGCCTGCCCAATGAGATGAGGAGTGAAATGTGTCTCTCAACCTGCAAAACAATGTGAGAAAACATAAAAGTAATATCCCTATGCTTCGCACTATTCCTTTCTGTCCAGGTGAACCAAAGGATCAGACAAGGAATGAGGAAGCCCACGTGTCTAAGGTGTGTGCTCTGTGAGAAAAAACTCAGGAGCTCAAAAAAACTGTATGTGGTGGGTAGGGATATATGAGTCCAAGTGGCAAAATGCTCCCACACTCTCCTCACAATCTCACTCTCTAGAAAAAGGTGGGTAAAGGTCTCAGTCTCATGGCATCCGGTCTCAGAACAACACACACACCGAGAGGGGAAGGAGATCTCCCTCGCGTGTAGCACAGTATCGACGGGTATCCGGCGCAAGAGAAGGCGCCAAAGGAATACCGAAATAGTAGGCGTAAAAAGGTCACTCCAGATAGCCCCGAAGAGGAGATTAGGCCGATCCCTCAGCCTAATCTGCTCCCAAGCCGAGGTAGTAGAAAACACACCTGATGATGTAAGTCTCCACCTCATGCTATATGAACCGTCCCCCGAGATAGGGATCTGGTGGATCTGATCTAATAACTGCTCGCTAAAACCCGCACCAGCCCCCAACTCCCTATCAAGCTTCCCCCTATCCCACGACCCGTCCGTCCAGAGGTCGCTCACGAGCAGGTAGGGGGAATGCGACACCTGCCTATCCCTAGACAGCGGCCTATCACCTACCCACCACTCATCCCAGACACTGACATCGCCCCCGCCCAAAACCTAAAAGATGTGATCCTGGGCTCGCCTCCCGACCCTAGTGAGGCGCCGCCACTGTCTGCTATCATGATCAACAGCCGTGACCCAACAAGGGTGGTTGGCACGTCTAGGGCAGTACTTGCCGCGAAGGTACTGAGCCCAAAGCGACTTTCCTTC